TCTACTCCCGTAAAGATTTACACCCTCGGAAACCCTGTACAGGGTCGCTATGGGTCGGACCCGACTCGATGGCACTTAACAACAACAACAACATATCTATAGCCATATCTATCTCTCTACCTATCTACCTGTCTATTTCTATCCATATCCATATCTATCTATCTATCTATCTATCTATCTATCTATCTATCTATCTGTCTGTCTATCTATCTATCTATCTATCCATCCTGGTGTAGCACTATGAATTAACGCAAGGTTGGTTTGAACTGCAAGGTCCATGATTCAAGCTCACCAGCTGCTCCTTGTACAGGGTCCCTATGAATAAGTCAAAACCAATTTGATGGCACTTACCAACAACAACAACAACATACACACATACACACACACACACACATATATATATATGAGAGAGTGTGGTGGTTGTAGTGTGCTGTAGAGTCAGTTCTGACTCACAGCGACCCTGAATAGGATTTCTGAGGTTGTAAATCTTTACGGAAGCAGAAAGCCTTAGAAGCAGAAAGCCTTATCTTTCTCCCATGGAATGGCTGGTAGTTTGAACTGCTGACCTTGAGGTTAGCAATCCAACTTGTAACCACTACGCTACCAGAGTGTTCCATATATGTGTGTATATCTATCTATCTATCTATCTATCCCTTCCAGTGGCAAAGGGCAGTAAACAGATTTTTCTTTCTTAAGTCTAGCAATCACGCTTTTGCGCTTTTGAGGAGAATGCAAAAGGGAAGAGTTCCAAGTTCCCAGAAAGGCTGTAAAACTCAAGAAACCTCTCATTCTTTTCTAACAGACTTATAAATGATGAGAATTCAGGGAAAATGTATTGAGTTCTTTCTTGCACAGAGTACCCTGGGTAGGAGCAGGAAGTACCAAGTCTGAGTTATAAATTATTGTCTGCCAGAGTCATCGAGGAAGGAACTGATTTCTGTTTGGTAGAGGTCATCATTACTGTTCATTTCCAAAGCAATCAGGAACTTCACGATTTTGACAAAGAGTCTAAGGACTACGGAGGGCTGAAGGGGAAAGAGGATGAAAGGAGTGTGTAAATCTTCACTCGCTTCATGATTCTTAGAAAAGGGCAACTTGCTCTAAGGTCTGATTTTTTGCAGCAGTCTTATTTCAGGGTGACTGGATCATCTGACTTCTTTTGATTTGGGGAAAATGCAGGGAATTATTTTATTTAATTTGGGGGCATTAAAGTAAACTTGCACTGGTTTTGTGCTCCTTATGAACTTAACTTCATGACTGGTTTGACATGGCAAAGCTGCAGTGTTGAAGACGTTCTGAACTCTCAAAGTTCTTGTTTTCTAATAGGAGGGAGCTCTGGTAGCGTAGTGATTACGAATCGGGCTGCGAACCTTAGGGTCAACAGTTCGAAACTACCAGCTGCTCCGCGGGAGAAAGATGAGGCTTTCTGCTCCCATAAAGATTTACAGTCTCGGAAACCCTGTACAGGGTCGCTATGAGTCGGAACCGACTCCACGGCACATAACAATAACAACAACAACAGAACATTTGTGGAAATTTTTTCAATACATTTTAATCCCATTTTTTCCATGAACTTTTTGAAGTCCTCTCATATTAGAAATTATGGATGTGACTGTAATTGGTTTTCCTCATAGTAAAAAGACTACAAGCTTCTAGGCAACCTCTTAATCACCTTACAGGGTGATTGGTGTGTGTGATTGTGTAAAAACATCATTTGGTCTGCCAGAAGAATCATTAACTAATTCAATCTTCTATTCACCTCACAGTGTTGGTAGCCAACATATAATTGTAACTTTTATTGTTTGGAAAATAGGACAAAATTTAAGTCCTAGGAAATCTGACTGTAATTGCAGTGAGAATTAGAAAATAGAAGCATTAATAGACATCAAATGAACTTGGCTTTGTGTTATTGTGAACTTGGCTTTGTGTATTCTTATTAGAAGTTATCTTACTCTTGTCAACAAAATTGTGAGCTATGCTATATCTCAACATTTATTTCATTGGTCTCTCTGTCATTAGAAATAAGGGACATGATTGGATGTTTGTGTGAATGTGGAAAAGGGTGATACAATATGCTGTTTGCTAAAGGATAATTAAGAGTCCTGGTGTGGCACTGTGGATTAATGCAATAGACTGCAAGATTGGTTTGAACCACAAGGTTGGCGGTTCAAACTCCCCAGCCACTCCTCTGAAACCCTATATATACAGGGTATCTAAGAGTTGGAACCAACTCAAGGGCAATTAACAACCACAATAACAAAGGATGACTATGTTATCCAAAATATAAGTCAAGTGATGATTCTATGGATTCTAAATTTTCTTACAATCTGGCTTAAGTATAGTTTTAAGAAGTTATCTTTAATTTTGTAAGATGTCCCAAATTTAGGATATAAATAGTAATTTAGTCAGCCAGACCAGGGCGACAAAGCTAGTTAGCGGAATTTTTCTGAGCATTCTCTCTGATTGACTCAGTGCACTTGCTCTGTGAATCATTTATGGGTGTATCTGAATACACCTTTGGGTGTTTTGGAAGAAACCCCGAACCCCGGTGATAACCGTTTTTGTTGCTTGTTTCATACCTCAGTCTATAGCCCAAGACTCTCTAAATAACATGGAGAGGTTAGGTTGCCATATGTTTTCAGCCTAATAAGACACTTCTAAAATGTTTGTAAAAGAAAGTATCTCTTCTTATTTGTGGCAGGCCTTGGAAGACAACATGTCTCTTGATGAGATTGAGAAGCTCACATCCATTGATAGGTGGTTTTTGTATAAGATGCGTGACATTTTAAGCATGGAAAAGACACTGAAAGGGAGCAAGAGGTAAGTCCACATTGCTCTAACTCCAGATACCATCTGTGCAACTTTCTCCCTCATCCTTAAGCATTGATCAAAATTCTTCACCAATGAGATAAGTTGGAAAACAGTAAAACAGTTGTCGTATTTAGAAGACAAATGGCAGATTTTAGATTTTTAGTCTATGAAGTTAATTTATTGATATTTCAAATCATTTTCTACTGCCATCCTTAACAATCAAACATAACGATGATCTTATTAGAAATGTCTTTTGGAATTACAAAAATATATGTGTGTATATATATATATGTTGTTGTTGTTGTTGTTAAGTGCCGTCGAGTCGGGTCCGACCCATAGCGACCCTGTACAGGGTTTCCGAGGGTGTAAATCTTTACGGGAGTAGAAAGCCTCATCTTTCTCCCGCGGAGCAGCTGGTAGTTTTGAACCGCTGACCTTAAGGTTCGCAGCCCGATTCGTAACCACTACGCTACCAGAGCTCCTTATATATATATATATAGTATTTGATAGTATTTGATTATCAAACATTACCTGGATTTTCATGTAATTATCAATAATGAAATGTGTAAGATTCCTGTTTCCACACATTTTCTCCTAATTCCACATATTTTCTCCTAAGTTTTGAGCCTCTTTTTGTTTTACAATATCAGCTTACATACTGCTGTATACTGATGAGCAAAAGCATTTGTTTTGCATTCTACTGATACTTCTACCCGGAGCACTTCCTGTTCCGCATACAAATAAGCCATGCTCAACTTTCTGCTAATAGACTCTCTACCTCTTACTCATTTACATTTTTATCTCCTTCAGGGCCAATTATTTTTAAATTTTCATTTCATGTTCAGAATATTCTTATAATGCTAGTGCTTTAACATCTTCGTTTCTATATTTCATGGGAAGACCATTTGTTGGGGCACCTCAGGCTTTTGAAATTACAAATAAGTGTAGACGAGAAATCTTTGATAGTAGGAACATTTGTTAGTAATTTGAGGAAGACAGTATAGTTCTCTTTATCATCTCCTCTCAAAGAGAGTCTGAAATACACTACAATTAGAAGTTGTCTCTCTTACAAGTCTATGGATATGCTTAGAGAGGGAAAGGATTTTGTTTGTAAAAATTGTTTTAAAAAGATTTGAGAAGATGTAGAGTAATCACTTCAAATGTTGAGGATAGTAGGAAGACCTCCAAGCCTAGACTTCTCAATATTTAAGCATTGTAATATATAACTGTGTGCACTTTGGGTTGATGTGCTGGACTACAAGGTCAGTTTGAATTGCAGGGTTGGCAATTCAAGCTTACCAGCCACTCCTCAGAAACCCTATACAGGGTCACTATAGTTGGAACCAACTGTAAGACACTAACAACATAATGTATTTGCGTACTCAAGATGTACACAAAAAAGGCAATAAAAACACTTGACTTTCATTTTAAGCAAAATTAGGTTTTTTAAAATCTATTTTATAACTGTCGAAGAAAAATGCTTAGTTTTGAAATTTGGAGATTTCTTTCTTCCATGAATGAAACTAAATGTAGTTGTCTATAACTCATCCTTCTAAGTGATCACATAAAATGAATAGTAGGCAGTGGTGAGTTAGGAATTTGAGCCTATACATTTTTCTCATAATTTTGCTGACTTGAGATTTCCTTTCTTGGTTTAAGATGCCAGCAGAACATCCACATTGAATTATACAGTCTGTTTCACTATTTTCATTTTCAGACATGAGATTTCAAATGCTAACAAAGCCACACAAATTAAACCACATGAGGGTGCTAGAAACTTACAGTATTTCAAATATAGCAGTGAACAGGACCTGGGGTGGAAAGTATCAGATAGCATTTTTATTCAAATTCCCACTTGTTACATATTCTGCTTTTTGGATGAATTTGATGTTTTAATTGAGTAGTTTTTGCAACAACAGAAAACAGGGTTTGAGATGCTAACTAAACAGAAGTGTATATTGATAATCAAAAAGGTCTCTAGAGGATTAGAACAACTCTTTGCTATAGATCACTTGTAATATCTTTCTGATTTCTATATTCTGTGGAATTGATTTACTGATAATTTGATATTTTCAGACTCCATTTTCTGTGAAAATATATTTGTAAATAGAGGTATTGTCTATTGTTCATAATGACCTACATTACGAAACTTGTTATTTAGTGCCTTTTGATGTTTTTAAAGGGAGTCCTGGTGTGTCCCTATGGGTTAATGCACTGGACTGCAAAGTCGATTTGAACCGCAATGTTGGTGGCTCACGCTCACCAGCCACTTCTTGGAAACCCTATACAGGGTTGCTATGAGTCAGAACCGACTCGACGGCACTTAACAATGACAACAAATATTTTTTAAATAAGAGTTTAAAAAATTCAACTATGTAACTTCTTTATACTTTATTTTGGTTAGGGAGATTAAAGTACCTATCATAGAGTGAAGGTTAAAGTAAGCTAAGAATAAAATTCTTAATTGATGATCTATGATATTAATAAACCAGAACCCCAAAATCATTTTTTGAGTAATGTTTAACTGTTTTATTCATTTCTTTTGGAATGCTGTAGATGTGCATATATAGCAATAGTGACTGTTATTTGGTGGTGGTGGTGGTTGTGTGCCACAGAGTCGGTTCTGACTCGTAGCGACCCTGCATAGGTTTTCTGAGACTGTAAATCTTTACATGAGCAGAAAGCCTCATCTTTCTCCTGTGGAAACGGCTAGTAGTTTTGGACTGCTGGCTTTGAGTTTAGCAGCCTGACTGTAACCACTAGCTACCAGAGCTCCTCAATTGTTATTTGTTGTTGTTATGTGCCGTGGAGTCGGTTCCGACTCATAGCGACCCTGTACAGGGTTTCCGAGGCTGTAAATCTTTATGGGAGCAGAAAGCCTCATCTTTCTCCCACGGAACAGCTGGTAGTTTCGAACTGTTGACCCTGAGGTTCGCAGCCCAATTTGTAACCACTACACTACCAGAGCTCCTGTTATTTAGAGGTATTAAATAAATTAAATAAGAATAGATGGCACTGAAGCTACATGCATCAGTCATTCTATGGCACAGAGGAGTCTGACGTCCAAAGACTATCATAGCTAAAGGGGTGTTAATGTGTAGGAGTGTGGGAAACCCAAATCCTATTTCTTTGTCTCTTCTGTTCTGACATCAGCTGAACATGCAACACTTCTTCCTTTGACCCTAATCACCAGATTTAGGGCAGATCTGACATGCTAAAAGACAGTCTTCTTTAAGACATCAGACACCAGCCAAGCTTGGGAGTCCCCACCACACCTCACTTCTGACCTGCTGGTTACAAATTTGGTGTTTTCCCATTACTCCTCAGGACTCCAGCCATAGTGTAGGAGTCCTCAGGGCTTCCCTACTTCTGTCCTATTAGCTACAAGTTTGGGGATTCCCTCTACTCCTTTAGTATACCATCTATAAGCTCAGGGTTTCCCTGGACTCTCCCACTTTGACCTGCTGTCTTCCACTACCCGCTACTCAGGTTTAGCAATTCACTAGAATAACTCACAGAGCTCATGGATAATGCTGTACTTAATGTATTCATGATTATATTTTTACTATAGCCGAAAGAATACAAACGAAGAGATGCATAGAGCCAGATCGGGAATGGTTTCTAACATGAAACTTTCAAGTCCCCCGAAGGAACGTACTGCCCTTCATGTGCATCATGTATTTCCCCAACCAGAAATCGCATGGAGCGTCCATGTCCACAACATTTACTGGGATTTATTGGGCCCTTATTATGTAGAGATGATTGGTTATATAATGAATCATGCCTTGTTCTCCTTCTCCCTCCCCTTATCACATTACCTTATTGGCATAAATCCTCAGGTGCAGTATTGTTGCTGTTGTTGTTTTTAAGTACTCTTGCATCATTTCCCACTGGTAGTGACCCTGGATAGGGTTACCAAGGAGCAGTTGACATGTTTGAACTGCTGACCTTGTGGTTCACAGTCCAATGCTGATCCTACAGTGCCATTTGTTGTTGTTGTTGTTAAGTGCCGTCGAGTCGGTTCCGACCCATAGCGACCCTGTACAGGGTTTCCGAGGGTGTAAATCTTTACGGGAGTAGAAAGCCTCATCTTTCTCCCGCGGAGCAGCTGGTAGTTTCGAACCACTGACCTTAAGGTTTGCAGCCCGATTCGTAACCACTACGCTACCAGAGCTCCTTACCAGGTGTGATTTATCATTGTTAAGTGCTGTTGAGTAGTTTCCGACTCATAGCGACACTGTATAGAGTGTCCGAGGAGCAGCTAATGAATTTGAACCACAGACCTTGTGATTCAAATTGACCTTGTGATCTAGCGCATTAACCTGCAGCTCCAGGTTTATAACACCTGTTATGGTCTGCTGTTGTTTTTATTGTTGTTAAGTGCTGTCGAGTCAGTTTTGATCCACAGTTACCCTGTTTATGGTTTCTGAGGAGCAGCTGGTGAGCTTGAACACCTACCTTATGGCTCAAACTGACCTTGCAATCCAGCACGTTAACCCACAGCACCACAAGAACTTTAATCATTGGGGAAATTCCAAGGTTTAAGAGGTTTCTCTCAGTAACCAATAATAAAGACTTCTTTTGGTAAAGTTAATTTTAAAGTCCTCAGTAGGACTTGAGCTCCTTTGCTCCATTCTGATCATTATTCTAAACCATGAAGTCTGTTATTCTTAGCCTCCAAATATCCTGAGAGAACTGCTGGTGGTGGCGTGGTTAAAGTGCTTGGTTACTTACCAAAAAGCCAGAGGTTTGAACCCACCAGCCACTCCACTGGAGAAAGATGAGACAGCCTGCTGCCGTAAAGACTGTAGCCTTGGAAACACTCTGGGGCCATTCTACTCTGTCCTATTGGGTTACTATGAGTTGAGATCGACTCCACCGCAATGGGTCAAATATTCAGGGAAGTTTAGTTTTCAAGGTATCTAGATCAACTGCTCAACAGTAATAACAGATTCCTATTTCTGGTGTAAGGAGCTCTGGTAGCGTAGTGGTTACAAATTGGGCTGTGA